TGTTAAAACCTGTTGTCTTCCCTGCTTCGTGCTGCCATCTGCCTTTATTAATCATGGGCATCTTTGTCGAGGCAGAAATGTATTGGAAGTGAAGACTGCGAAGAGTACAATGCTAGCGAAGGCTTTTTTGTGCAGTAAACCTGGACAGCTGCCTTGGTTTCCCTTTCTGATCTAATTAGCTCTGACAAGTTTACAGTGCTGCGTTTTGAGAGTCTCCTTGCCCATACAAGGTATAAAGGCAATGATGAAATCTTCTTTTAGAACTGACTCTTTACAGATGCCCAAGACAGTTCTTCCAAACCTAAATTGGTTAAATCGTTGCAGATGAAATGCCCCATCCTGAGATTTCTTCCTTCTATTATGAGTTGAATCTTCCTTTTATAGACTAGCCATATCTGCTGACTAACTGATTGCATGTCTTAAGGATGCCATGCAGCTCTTCTTATGGAATGTGAGCTTTCAGTCTGATCCACAACCAAGTGCAGGTGGAGATATTGCTCTGCTCTCGTTCTAGGAATCTCAAAAGTGTGGGGTGTCTCAAAGTGTGGGGTGTATCTCCTTTCAAGCTGCACTGTGGTGTGGTGTCAGGTGTCCTGCTGAGTCTGCTGAGGAAGACAGACAGGTTACGCATCAGATTTAGGAGGGGGGAGACCCTCCTTACCTAGAATTGTTGTTCGTTGGTTTTCTCCCCACACCATATGTTTTTATTACAGTATTTTTCACGAGTAACAAACGTACATACATTCACTTTGAGACATTATTGTTATCAGCAATATGGGGTTGAGGTGGAAAGAGAAGTGTGGAGAGTAAGAGGAGGAAATAGTAAAAAGGGGTGGGGAGACAGTAATCTTTCATTGTTTTACATTGTATATGAGTGGATCTTTTGTGTCAGCAACACGCGAGTAGCAGTGTTAGAAAATGAGATATGAAAGCTAGGAGCTAAATGGCACCTTAAACCTAGGTTACGGGCACAACGATGGAATGTCTAGGTGGGCTTTTTTAATAAGAAGAATACAAAACTGAAAATGAATGAACTAAAACATTATGTTTATTTTTCACGTGCTCTAGTCCTTCCCCTGCCCACCCCCCTAATATTCTTAAGAGAGTCTTTTCTCCAGTCTTCAGAGAGTAGCCGGAAGTGGGGAGGCAGAAAAGGTCCCCCTTTCCTTCCACCCTACAGTTTTAATCTGAAATCCTAGGCGCAGTACTGCGCCCAGAGCTCAGAAACTGCTCGCGCTGATGAAATTCCCTGTCACAAAATGCATCTAGAACAATGGGAGTTTCGAACACTGGTGGGTCGGTATTTTATTTTTGCTGGTGAAGTGAGAGACCAGAGGGCCCAGGGCATGGTTGGTTGTAGTTAATTGGTTGCAGTGTGATTTGTGTGTTGATTCCAGATGGGTGGAATTTCCTTCAGATTATGGCAATCTGTTAATAATTAAAGTATATGATACCTTGACATTAGTTGATAATTTCTTGATTTGTTGATCTACCAAAGGCGCTCTTCATTTCTGTGCTCATTGGTGTCCTTTTGAGCTCATCCTTTTGCTGCCATCTTGCCTCCGGTCATGTAGGGATCTGATGGAAACTCTGAAGTACCAATCCACCCCTTTCGCTGCAGAATCTAGAATTAGTGCATCCTCTCCGATGTGCAGATGTCACTGCTCAGTATCCACAGTCCCTCAGGGGTGGAATCTGCTGTGCCAAGAGCCGTGGTGGTGCAGGCTGCAATTCTGCACGGTATGCCTAGCACAGCGAAACAATTGGGTTACACCACTGCATGGTTATTGCAACACTTGGTGGTCCCACTGCTGCCATGTTCTGAAGTCAAAGCAAGGGGCAAAACAAAATACGCCGTCATTTTACAATGCCACTTCCTCTGAAGTCATACCTTGAGTGCAGTTGGTGAGAAATGCTGGTCTCTCTCTTCCACATCCACTGGCTAGTTAAATTACAATACTTGCATACTGTGATTCGTTTCTGTTTATAACATGAAGACTAGGAGCAGGAGCCAACTAAGTAATGTTCCACTGGCCCTACTCCACCCCCAAATCTGCACAGTGCGGGTTAGGGGAACCCCCAGAACATCTTTAGGGGGCATTCAGCTCAGCGGAGAGTGGATAATGTTCCCCTTAGATTGTTCCCCTTAGCAGTACTTTGAATACAACCCCAGGAACTGCTGATTGTGGACTTCTTGTCAGTTCCCTGATCCTCTGATACACGTAAACTGGGTTATCTGCAGCGTCATGGAAACCCAGGGTCTGAGCTCAGTTGACCATGTTCCATGCATGTTGGCTACATGAGCTGCATTTCGTTGCTCCGTACAGTTTGTTTTACCTGTTTCAAGGCGGAAACTTGAGTCTATGAAGCTTGCAAGACCAGGAACCCTTCCAGGTTTGCTCAAAGCCTAGTTCAGGGGGGGAAATGCTTTTCAATCACTTCCAGATTTAAATATCTGTCTCCTGCCTACACTTTGGAAAAGAACAAGCTTTCTATATTCCATAAAACTGGGAGGAAAAGACAACTATTTATAGCTACTTCCCAAGACAATGCTCTGGGCTGGACCTTTTGGAACATGTACTCTGACCTTGGCTCTGAATTTTCTGCACACTCCTTAGAAAGGATCTCGCTTTTTTAACCGCTCACTGCTTTTCTCCTCTATCCTTTTGTTCATTACCTCTCGCCCGTTTAATAGCTTGTGCTTTGGTACCGCACTGCTTGGGTGACACAGCCAAGAATTCATCCCCTTGGTTCTGAACATCCTGGCATGCATTACGTTACCTTTGGTTTGGGAGAGGTGGTGCTATTGCTGTGGGAGAAACAACCCACTTCTCTCGGCACTGTGTTGTTTCTTGCAGCCAGAAGCGTGATCTGTGTTCCTGGCATCATGCTACATGTTTTTTTATGGGAAGGGCTCAGGACTGCAATACCTCAAGGGCTCCTCTTTCCATATGAACTTACTCAGACCCTGAGATCATCTTCTGCGGCCCTTCTTCCTGTGCCTCCTCCATGAGTGGTCCGGAGGGTAGCAACACAAGAACAGGCCTTTTCTGTGGTGGCTCCCTGTTTGTGGAATGCTCTCCCCAGGGAGGTTCGGCTGGAACCTTCATTATACATCTTTAGGCACAAGGCAAAAATGTTTCTAAGATGGGCTTGATGTAATGTGTTCTCTGCCTCTCCACAGCTTCTGGGGTTAGCCTAGCTGTATGGGTGGCTGCAGTGGTTACATCTCTGGTTGCCACAGGCTCTTCTCCTTTCCTAGAAGTTTATGCCTCCTGTTTATGCTCTCCTCTGCCCCACCCAGAGGGGACCTGCCTCACTGCTGTTTTTCTTTCAACACATCCAGTTGTGCCAGGAGCAAAGCAGCAGTAAATCACACTGAACACATTGGAGTTAACTCTTTATTAGCAAAAACAGAATCTGCACAGAAGTGCCAGGCCTAATGAGCACAGCAACTCATCTCCAGCAAGTCTTGACCCCATGAAGGAGTTGCTGAGACTGAAGGTCCATGCCTCCCCACTAAGTCCCCTCCTCTCCAGGGGTTTTCCTAAGCAATCTGAGACTGTGCCTGCATGAAGCTAACTTCTCCACACTCTTCATGCCCCTGCTGGTTCTGGGATGGGGAGCTTGTGGCAGCAGGAGAGGGAGACACCTGTGCCTCTTCACCAGCCACACTCATCTCTGCCTCTTGGCCTTCCTCCTCTCCTGCTTCCGCTTCTGCCTCTGAGATAGGCTGTTTACCCTCCTGTTTACCCCTAAGCCCTGTTTACCCCTTCAGCTTCTGACACCTCCTCCTCCCAGGCTTCTGTCTCTTCTTCCTATAGCCTCTCATTTTTGTCCCACCACCACTTCCCAGGTCCTGAGTCTTCTTCCCTTGGGGGTCCCCCAGCTGGTTCCTCCCACCATTGCTCTGCGTCCAACCAGTCTTTGGCAGATTGCTTTACCCATATGTTTGAGCTGAGTTCTAACAAAACACTGCTAGGACAGTCTTCAGATCCCTATATCTGCTGGGTGCTATCTACACCGGTCAATGATGTGGTACCTTGTTCCCGGCTCATTGCAAAAAGGTTTCTGCTATTTCCTGCTCCTTACTTGGCTGCTCTAATGATAGACTCAGTCCATGAATGTACACATTTGGATGTCCGTAAATGGAGGAAGCAGACCTGCTCCATCAGCTGATTAGGGAGAGACAGAGTCAGGGTTGTGAACTTCTAGTTGGTACCTTGTGCCCTCTAAACCTGGGGCCATAGCTCAATGGTAGAGCACATGGTTTGCATGCAGAAAGTCCCAGATTCAATCACTGGAATCTGCAGATCAGGTAGCAGGTGATGGAACAGCTTCTCCCCTGCCAGAAACCCTGGAGAGATACTGCCAGTCAGAGTAGACAACACTGGGTTAGATGGACAGATTAGTAGAAAGCAGCATCTGATGGGTTGTGGCCAACCAAGTTCTGCTCAGAGTAGACTCTCTGAAATTAATAGATCTAAGTTAATCATTCCCATTCATTCCAATGATTCTACTCTGAGTAGGATTAACAGGGGATTCAGCCATATGTTTTCAAGTGACAGCTCTAGAGTCCTGTCCCTGGGAGTACTAGGCAAAAATAAATTGAAATCAGAAATCAGCTTGAAGGAGAGCACTGTTTGCACATGGTAACACTGATGTCATGGATGCTTTAGCTGAGATTCCTGCATTGCAGGGGGTTGGACTAGATGATCCTCGGGGTCCCTCCCAATGCTACAATTCTATGATTCTTTGTCGGCTCCAAAGAAAGGAGTCTGAACAAAAGGTTTTTAAAATATATATGCTGCATTGATGACCCTGCAATCCAACAAGACTCTGGCTTCAGACAACCTATGCCCAGATTCTGAAGTGAGAAACAAGCTGTAAGCATTAATAATGAAGTGGTTTTGGCAGAAGCTGTGGGAACTATGGGGCTGTGTAGCATGCATATTTAACAAACAAAGTCTTGCTTGTGTTCGGCATTTTTATATGCTCAGGTGGATTTGCAGCTGCAGTCACCACCCCTCTGGATGTAGCCAAGACAAGAATTATGCTGGCAAAGGTAAGAGCTCGGAGAACAGTGCGAGGCTGATTGACAGGTTTGCAGGTTAATAGCACTGGGGGGTTTGCGTAGTAGCAACAAAACCGAACCCAGCAGCTTCTAAGGGTTTCTTTTCTTCCATTTTAAGTTTGGGGTCTCTGTCTCTCCAACTCTGATGCCCCTTTTTCTGGCCACCTCACATTTCTTTTCCTACTCAGCTGCTGCTGCTGCTCCCCAAAGGGCTTCCCCAGTTGGTGCTTATTAACTGATCTATTAATTTAGATTTATAGGCTTGGCTCGTTCCTGAAACTCGGGGCTGGCAACTGCTTCCCCTAATCCCATTTATCCTTGAGTCAATACACCGAGGTGGACCAGTGTTATTCCTGTTTTTCAAGTGAGAAGCAGAGACTGAGTGATGGTGGCTTGCCCAAAGCTGTGCTGCATTAGGCTGGGATTCAAGCCCAGATCTCTCCCAGGTCCTATCATGCCACTCTGCCCATCTGAGCCTGACACCTCTTTTTTCTAGACTGAATTGAGAAAAATAGCCTTAGCACTGTGCTCCCACAGCACTTCATTCTAAGCACCAGGATCTTGCACTTCAACAAAAGAGAGGCAAAGTGGACATGTGCATTATTTGCCAGTGTGGTGTAGTGGTTAAGAGCGGTAGTCCCGTAATCTGGTGAACGGGGTTCGATTCCCCGCTCCTCCACATGCAGCTGCTGGGTGACCTTGGGCCAGTCACACTTCTCTGAAGTCTCTCAGCCCCACTCACCTCACAGAGTGTTTGTTGTGAGGGAGGAAGGGAAAGGAAACAGTTAGCTGCTTTGAGACTCCTTCGGGTAGTGATAAAGCGGGGTATCAAATCCAAACTCTAATAATAATAATAATAATAATAATAATAATAATAATAATAATAATAATAATAAATGACTTCATCTGGAACCAGTGTGACATGCTGGTAAGAGTGTTGGTCTAGGACTGAGGAGACCTGGGTTCAAATCAGCACTCAGCTATGACACTCAAAGACCAGTCAGCATCTCCTGACCTACCTCACAGGGTAAAATGGGGGGTGGGAGGTGGGGAGAACCGGTCACGCTGAGGAAGGGAAAACTTAAACATGTTGCAGAGTTCTCCAAAAATAGACCAGAGGCGATTGTACTTCATCCAGCAGAGCTTTACTGCTACTGAAGGCAAATGAGCATAATGGTCACAAATCCAATACATATAGGATTGGCACAGTCCATAAAAAAATCCAGTTGCAGCACTTACAATAAAACTTACAATACTTATAAGACGAAACTATCACACTACATACGGAACAGAACAGAACACCAGAACAAAGAGACAGTAAGCTCAGACTCCTTTTGGCCTTACTATTATAGTTAGCATGACCTTGACAGAAAGATAACAGAACCAGTTTAAATCAGCTGTACTCAGCTTCTCAGAAGGAATAACCCAAACAAGACCTTCTGTCTGTTTCTTTCACATAGAAAAACCTAATAATAATAATAATAATAATAATAATAATAATAATAATAATAATAAATTTTATTCATATCCCGCCCTCCCAGCCGAAGCCGGGCTCAGGGCGGCTAACAACAATAAAACAGTACAAAAGTACAGCATAAACAACACTCTAAAATCATTCATTATAAAATTAATTAATTCAAGCCACTGGCAACCATTGGGCCAGAGCTCCGCGAAGATTGCCAAAGGAGGGAGTCAGGCTGTGCCCTGGCCAAAGGCCTGGTGGAACAGCTCTGTCTTGCAGGCCCTGCGGAAAGATGTCAAGTCCCGCAGGGCCCTGGTCTCTTCTGACAGAGTGTTCCACCAGATTGGAGCCACAGCCGAAAAGCCCTGGCTCTAGTTGAGGCCAGCCTAACTTCTCTGTGGCCTGGGACCTTCAAGATATTTTTATTTGAAGACCTTCCAGAACACTCCTGAATTAAGCAGAACAGGAAAGATCTCTACACAACAGATCAATACTTACTGTACTACGAACTGCAAACTGACAGAACCATGTACACCACCTAGAGTTTTTTGGAGGGAAGGTGTGACACATAAATGAAAATAAATAAACAAGCCAGCTTTGGAGCAGACCTTTGTCTTGGAAGAAGTACCTTGACTTGCAACTCTTAGATTCAGTCCTTCATGGATATGTGGTGGTGTGGAGAAGATGCCCATCCGCCAAATGCAGTTGAAGAGGAAGGACTGCTTGGTGGCATAAAAAGGAAACCAGTAGTCATTCCATATCTATGGAGCACAGTGGTAGTTCATGCGCCTTGCATGCACAACTTATCAATTGAAAGGGCTGCAAAAGACCTTTGTCTGAGACTTTGGAGTAGAGGTAGATGGCACTGTGCAAGATGTCCCAGTGGTCTGACCTGATATGAGGCAGCTTCAAATGTTTATCTGTGTGCTTCATCTATACAGACTGGCTCCAGAACCGCAAGTGGGAATGTGCTGTCAGCTCTGCATCAAGTATGGAGGACACAAGGGATTTCTGGGTAAGGATGGATTGGGAACAGGGGAAATGCCTCAGCATGTAGCAGTTGAAAAAGCTGCCTAGGAAGAAGGTGGGTTTCACTTGTAACACCCAAGTGAATTACTGGGGGCTTTTATATTTTTCTGCAGAAAGCCAACCCCCTATGTTTAATGTTTTCATCTGTGCTGCTTGGTGACAGATAAGTTGTAAGAGGAATGAGTGAAACTTAAATTAGTACTTTTCAAGCCAGGTGAGCACTGAGTGTGCAGCAGTCACAGCACTAGAGCAAAATGTGGGCAAACAAGAAAGATTCAGCTGTTTTTATTGTTCAACAATGTACACAAAGTAGTAATAATAATAAAGAATACTTGACGAGAAGTAGGGGAGGAAGGAAGACCCAACAGATCGACAGAACAAATATTATGTGGCTAGTATTTGTTTTGAAGAGGGTTACTTGAAAAATGAATAAATCAGTGTTTTGCAGTGGCCCAAAGGGTTTCCATGGAGTTGTGATCAGCAAAGGGTTCAAATTCTAGCTTGGATTAGTGAGTTTATATTTAATAGGTTTAGTATAATAACATACTACAGCGGCTCCATAATCTTTGCTTGTCATTTGCACCCTGTTTGTATATTTATATGTATTATGGTTTACTTGTAGCTTTAGTAGTTCAGGGGGTTAAAAGGAGAAGACCCTGAATAGCCTTTCTTTCCAGCTACCTCCTTTCTTTCCATCAGTAATCGCCCTCTGCTTTGCAAAACTTACTGAGTAATAACAGTCTTTTCTTTCTATCCTCTCTGCCAGAGAATAAGTAATGGAGTTGATATTAGGCTTCACTCTAAAAACAAATAGAAAGCTGGGGGGGAAGGAGGAAATGCTAATAATCATTCTGGAGCAGGCCTGCTTGCGAGCTTCTGTGGAGGCAAAGGTTTGTTGAATTAGAAGAACCTCAGAGATTATCAAGTAGACTCCTCTGGACGGAGCCACATTGCTCTTACATTTCATTTAAAAAGAAGTCTAAGTTAGGGCCAAACTTCGATATAACATTAATTGCATCATCATCACCATCATTTATTGAATTTATATACCCGGAGGTCTCAGGGCGGTTCACATAAAAATATCACAGTATGTAAAATAAAAATAAAAGCAATAACCCAATAATACCCCCCAAGCTACATTTTAAAAGGTATGGGATGTTGATCAGGTCAACCAAAGGCCTGGTTATAAAGGAACATTTTTGCCTGGTGCCTAAAGGTGTATAATGAAGGCGCCAAGTGAACTTCCCTGGGGAGAGTATTCCACAGACGGGAAGCCACTGCAGAAAAGGCCTGTTCTCGTGTTGCCATCTTCTGGACCTCTCGAGGAGGCAGCACACGAAGGAGGGCCTCAGAAGATGATCTCAGGGTCCGGGCAGGTTCATAAGGAAAGAGGTGGTCCTTGAGGTATTGCGGTCCTGAGCCATTCACTCATTCATGCAATTAATGAGTGCACACGTTGTTGTTGTGTCAACATGAGCTTTGGGGAAGGCTGAGCAGTCTTAGGATCATGGATGGTGGGGCACATCCTGCCATGGTCCTAAGAAAAACCACACCTCTGCAAAATTCTACACTTAGGCAGGAACAACCAGCTGCAGAAATATAATATGAGGGACACTGGCTTGCTCGCAGTAGATGTGAAAAGGATCTAGTGGTCTTAGGGGACCACAAGCTTAACATGAGTCAGCAGTGGGATGCAGCAGCAAAAAAAAAGACTAATGCTATTCTAGACTTCATCAACTGACATGTAATGTCCTTCAGGGACCTTTGGAAGTTGCTGGCATTGTCGAGGTGCGGCAGGCCACAGACCAGCCACCTGAGCAAAGATGCTGCATCCATAAATGCCTGGGACATTGCTCCCTCTGAATTATATTCACTGCAAAATGCCATCCAAGGAAACCACCTGACTTCATGGCTCTCTAGACTGGTTGTAGCACAGTAAATAAGGAAGGTTGTAAGAACAGGTACACACAGTTGCAGCTGAAAATTAAATTTCATTGATTAATTCTGTTGAAAGGCCCTAGACCTACAATCACCCTCCTCTCCCTCCCTCCCTCTCTCTCTGTATATAGATATATGTCTTCAGAATTTCTCTAAATTTGTATAGCTGGGGGAGAAAATATAGCTCTGATTAATCTCTAGGCAGGGAGAAGTGGCAAGCTGGGGCAGCCTCAAGAAAAGTCTTGGAAAGGGTGGGAAATAGGAAAGACCAGTTCTGCCAGGCCTGCTGCCAATTATAAATCTATTAATCAGAACAGTAAAAGTGTCAGGCTCTGTGCCTGTCTGAAATCAAGAATGACAAATGCCTTATCTTGCGGATTGACACCTTATTAAAACCAGAAGGGCGCATTGGGCTTCCTGTTGGCACCTCCACTGTGGGCCAGCAAATTAACATCCCGTCCTGCCAGGGGAGAGAGAAAGAGAACTAACAGCAGCAGATAGGTGTCTTGACAGTGATATAATAGGAGATTATAACAGGAGATCAGAGGGGCATAAAGCAGACATACGCTTGCGCTGGTTTTCTTCTTCCAGATGAGAGGCTGCTCCCCTGTTTCGTGCACATTGGCACTTCTCTACGTCATTCTCCAGGCTGTCTGCATTTTGCAGAGTCAGAAATCCAATGTGGCCTTTTGGTATCTGGAGAGTCTCTTCTTCCAGTTTTAGAGCACTCATGGTTTTGGATAGCGGATTGAGAATGTATGGGTAGGATTTAGTTGTGAGGTTGCAACTTAGAGACAGGCTTCAAATTACATGCCCCTCAAAGCCTCTTTAAAAAAACAACAACCAACAACCATGGAACGCCATTTGCTGTGTTGCTCAGTTGTTGGAAACTGGAACTGACTAGTGGACAATGGAGTTCCCTATGGTGTTGTGGACTTCATTCACTTTAGCTGGTGGATGTAGGAGTTGCCCAGGGTTGGAGGCAGAATACTGGTTGAGAGGGATAGTTAAGCAAATAAAAAAAGGAAACGGTTGATGGAGTCCAGTGTTGTAGGCTGCAATCGGTAGGTGCATTCTTACAGTGAGAGCCGATGTGGTGTAGTGGTTAAGAGCGGTGGACTCATAATTTGGTGAACCGGGTTCGCTTCCCTGCTCCTCCACATGCAGCTGCTGGGTGACCTTGGGCTAGTCACACTTCTCTGAAGTCTCTCAGCCTCACTCACCTCACAGAGTATTTGTTGTGGGGAAGGAGATTGTTAGGCGCTTTGAGACTCCTTAGGGTAGTGATAAAGTGGGATATCAAGCCCAAACTCTTCTTCTTTTCCTTCTTCTTACAAAACTGCATGCCCATCCACACAGTGGTCTACACGTGCTTGGAAGTTTCTTAAACTGCTTTCTCAACTCAGCAGGGCATTCAAGGAGACTTGCTCTTGGGAAATGCTGTTGGATATGTAGCCCCACAAAGACTCCCGTGGATCACATCTATAGTGTCAGCATCTGGCACTGAGATGCATCTTTTGACGCTTCCGTTTTGAGACTGGGGTACCCACCCAAACCAAGGAAGTGTGACTCAAGTGTTTCTGTAGTGAGAGCATTGCCATGAAAGTACTGGGAGACAAGCATGAGAATGATTTTTAACCTGTGATATGACATAAACCTGGGTGGGTGGATAAAGATCTGTCAACACATTTTAGTGTCTGAGGGAGCAACACCCAAGCACCCAAACGCTGAGACTTTTAGACGTGATTTCAGTAGGCCTTCTTTCTCAAGTGAGCTTGCTTTTGGGTGGTAGCCTTAATAGATTTTCACAGTCTGCCTTGGAATGAGGAGTGGGAAGTGGTCTCACGGAAAACGATTTGCAAATGATAGTGGTCTGCTGCATCTCATATCAACAAGCACAAAAACCTGCCATTGGGAAAATCTAGACGTGGCCTTAGTGTTAGGTTTGGGGCAGAAATTTGTCTGGTTTGTATTTTTTTTGTGAACCTGCATAATTTTCATTTCCCAAAACAATGCAGAAACCAAAAGACAGTGACCTTGCGAAATTCACACATCTCCAAATTTTATGACCCAGTTCTCCAACTAAAAAGTGTGCCCAAAAAAAAAGATTGCGTAGGTAAATGAAAATAAAATTCAAAGCTTATATTATAACAGAGGATCTTACTTGCAAAAATGAATGCATGAATGCATATATTAAGAAAAATTGGCACAAAAATATGTACTCACTTTCATGTGGAAAGAAAACTTCGCAAATTGATGTAAAAAATGAGTTTAGGGTTTGAAAAATGAGTACCTGAGGGAGATTGAAAATGACCGATTTGTCCCTCTCTGCTTAGAATTCAGGTGCCACCCCTCTTAAAGTTATCCCTGTATGGAAGATGGTCATGGTTAACCAATGACGGAATGAAACCAGGGTCTTTCTTTGTGATTTTGAGATTCAGTGAGGCATGCGGGTGGTTTAGTGTGTGGATAATGAAGTAATAATGTGCCATTCTTTTGTCAATGACATCATCTTTCACAAGGAGTAGGTGCCTGTTCAAGAAGATGGTCTTTCCCAATTAAACTGCCTCAGCCTCCAAGGAAGATGACAGCATTTCTACAGGGAACAATGGTGCTCTACCACAATATCTGCCCATGGAATGCTCTGTCGGTACTTGCCTTGTTACAAATTACTTGGCTTTAAAGCTGTAATTATGGTAATAGACCGAATTGCTGTCTAGTGAAACCATAAAACATTTCCATCTGCCTGCCGCAGCCCCGAAGCAAAGATCATTACCACAGACAAGTGCAAGTGCAGGAAGGAGGTGAACTGAGCTCTGCATCTGACTTAGCAGTGGAGGAAAGAGAAAACTCACCAATACCTATTCATGAGTTGGCACCAGGTCTCCAAAGACCCACAGAACTTATCAAGGGGCTTTGGTCTTTACAGACAAGTCTCATTGCTCGCTAAAACCTTTGTTGTAGGAAGAATTCTAATCCAATAGGGATGTGTAATTTTTCTTGCTGAAAGGCTGTTGGAATAATTTAATCAGGTTAGAAAATCCAGGC